AACGATTTCCTTTTTGTTTTAATTGATTACAATAATTGGAAAGACAGAACGAAAAATCAAGTCCACCTTCATACTTTCAAAATTCTGTTAGAGCTATGTATGATTTTATTAAAGTTTATGTTAAAGTTTTGGTTAGCTTTTTTCAATTCATATATCGGATCTTTGAAACGTTATCAATTTTTTCTTTCTTAATTTAAATTTTATTACATAAACACATGTAAAAAAAAGACAAAATGAGAAATCGTGACGACCTATGGATGCCAAATTTAAATGTTTAAAAATCGCAAAAAATCAAGTTGTAATGTAAATTTTGTTTATTAGGAAATCGTGAGATGCGGTCTGGTGTGATGTAGGTTTCAGAAAAACATTTTCTTTATCGTGCCAACGTTTCGATCTTTATTTAGATCATCTTCAGGCTAGAGGGCACTCTCAACACGACACGCAGGAATGGCACACTTACGCAGAAAACAAACACTTTGAGCTCTGAAGATGAATAAAGATCGAAACGTTGGCGCGATAAAGAAAAGGTTTTTCTGAAACCTACGTCATACCAAACCGCATCTCAAGATTTCCGAATAATCATCGACTAACGGTGACTAATTACCACATATAAATTTTGAATTAAAAATTTATTAACAATAATTTCAAATTCCTGATGAAGCGGATATATTCTTCAAAACCTTGACGAAAGAACTAATTGTTTTTCTTTGCTTTCAAATTGGCCTTATCCTAGATTTGTTTTTAATACAACGATATAATATTTAAAGCTGAAATCAATTATATCCAGATAATTTCCATGTAAAGTAAATTTGGAATGTGGTGCCAATTTTTTGGTACCCCACTTGCCATGACAAAACTTCAAGACAGTGTTTGCATTTATAATTTTTCTCTTGAAATACCAATTTGCATTTCTTATTCTGCAATTCTGCAATAAATTAAAAATAGAATAATGTGTCATAAAAGATTTCAATTGCGTTGTATTTCAGCTTGTCATGCCGAGGACATCCAATTTAAATCAATAATTGAAAATATTCCATGGCGAACCACGGACAAAAATGAAGACATCATTTCTTAATCACAATCATGTTCTCTATTTAGAGAAACTTTTTACTAAAACTTTTAAAACATGACAATTTTGACATTATTGTGGACACATTTACACACTAAAATTTAAATGCATTGGTCTTAATCATAAGTGAAATTCTAATTTTATTTTTACGTACAGTCCAGTGACTGCCCAGCATGAGTTGTTCGAGTTTAACCCTTTCACCACTTTTTACTGTAGATAATAAATACAGGTGGTTAACCTACATAGCAAGTTGTATTAAAATCTGTATAAAGTCTGTATCTCAATTTTATTCGAGATATTTCACTTTTCAAGTTACTCCAATCTTTCACGTTGTTAATCCATAAAGTCTCCGCTATCTCATAAAATGTTATCCCTACTGTAAATTTGATCACACCAATAGAAAAAGCATTGAAAGCCCTTCATAACAAAATACAAAATCTCCAAAATCCCAGACTGTAAGAATGAACTTAGATCAAAACACATGAATATTTACTTTCGATAAAGATCCCGTTACAGCTTCGGGTAATTTACAAAATCACACAGAATTTGAATCATGGCGCCGCCAATGGAGGAGAATGAAGGTAAACGGAAATAAATGTAAATACATTGTTTTTACCTTGAACAAAAACACTTTCTCACATATATATTTCAATAATCTTCCTATTCCCGCTGCGAACCATGGACTGTACCTCGACAAACGATTTACATGGAATTCTCATACGAGACTCAAACGTAAAATTGAAATACAAAATTCACACTGCTTAAATGATTACGTAATAACCGATCTAAACTTACATTAACTAAAAAAGACTACACACTGCCTTGCTTGCCCATTTTGAGCATACGGACTTGAACTGCACGGACCGTTAAACGTTCCAATATTAACAGAATCCAAATTAAAAATCTTATTCGTATACGATCTTGCTAAATCCCGGTAGAAAAACGTCACTTTAAATTACCCAATTACCTAAACCCCTTAATCCGCAAATTGTCATCGACAACATTACCCGCCAATTCTCGTCGGAGACTGAAGCGACGTTAGCTACACAACTTCGGAAAGGATAGTTGTAAAGTGATCTCCACTCTGTTGGCGGACTAGCCGTCCATTCATTAGATGGTCACCGTTCAAGCCTTAAGGTCGATTCACACACATCAGTGACGTGACAGTTTCGTGACGGCCCTTATTCCTTATTACTTTCTACCCACAGGGACATCTTCCCTGTGGGGCCAGGCAAAGTCCGACCATCAACCCTGGTGCCTGGGGGTAGCCAATGATGGAGGCAATATCCCTATTACCTTCCTTATCCTTCCTACCCGTTTCCTTTTCCCTCCCTCTCCCCCTCTGCTTCGGCAGAGGATTCCTGGGTTACTGAACCCGCACCCCTCAGGCAAGGGTGCATCAGTAGGGAGTTCGTATGACCTCCCGGGTGGGCGATCAGTCCCACCTTAAAAATAATACTGAACCTCGGGAGTGGAGTATTCAAGCGGCTCTACTAATTGAGGTTGGACTCGTGGTGGTCGTGGTTTATATACAAATTGTACCTTAGCTGGAGGGTACCGGCCAACCGGAGCCGGAGATAGAGTGCCTCTCTATCTCTCGGGGGGTGGTGAAAGGCATGGCACAAAGGCTGTGCTGGAAACCACAAAACTGCTTTTTTCAAGGCACATGTATGGATGTGCCCTTTTTAGGGCACTTCTGAACTTGATTAGCATTGCACCACCTCACTAGCCACGGGTCATATGACAAGTCCATGCATGTAAAATCTTCCTGGTGTTCTTTCGAGAGCACTAGGCGTCTGAGAAGTCCCCTTGGGGATAGGTCCGGACGTTAAAGATCCTCATGGGTCTCGACACCCATGAGTAAAGTTGGGAACATCGGCCCTTATTTCCGGGTGGCCATCCACCTACGCCTGGGCGAAAGGCCTGGTTTCCTCTAGGGGGTGGTTAGAGATTACACTTAAATCGAAACCGCGACCGGAGCGCATCCGGAGGTTTCGACGCTAGCGGAGCCCCGACACAAGGGATATAGAGTTGTCTTCTCTATCTAGGGAGTGTGTGGGAGACTTAGTCGATGCATCGAGGGGTATCCTTTTACTCGCGGCACACGATGTTAACCACCCCCTCGGAAGGGGCAAGAGGGAGAAGTCAGCATGTCTGTCGATTAATCTGTGGATTTGCGGGTTTCCACACCGAACCTCACGGAATAAGCAGATTTTCCGTGCGCGGAGGTGAGTCGCTCCTAACTTGAGAACCTAAACGTGTGATTAGGCCTATGTGCCAGGTGCGCACGCTAAAGAACCTCAATGTTAAATAACATTGCGACCCCAGTAGCCCTTATTCCTGGCCACTCCGTTCCAACAGGGCTCTCTATTCACACTGGCTAGTTTACACAAGTGAAAAAACGGAAGTGGGTTCATCAAGCATGAAACAAGAGAGGGAATTTCTACACTTTACAAAGAATAAGTGGACGATGGATCAAAATATGGCTTGCTACATAGCTTAAGACTTAAACTTCTTAACAAAATTAAGAAGGGAGGGAACGCAACGACAAATGCATTTCGTGTTAGAGAAATATTTACTGATTATTTCAATTCTGATGCTGGATCTCTCCCGAGGTTATCAAATACCCAACAACCTTAAAACAAGTTCTAATTGTAGTTCATAATTTATTATACTCTGTTGCTATTCTTAATGTAAAAACTACTTAAATATGCACGTACTTTACCCACCATCTGTTTTAATTTTTGCTCCTATTTTCTTCCAGATAATATTTTTGAACTCTGAATCCATGTATTTTGGATTTACCTGATCAAATAATACAGGATTATTTCGCGTTTTTCGTCATTCATGTTGTACGGCTGTGAAAACATATAACAATATCGTCAACAAGAAATCCTACGGTCACGGTACGGTGACGGTACGGTGACAACGGCATCACTGTCGCACGCCGGGCGAGTGTGAACAAAGCCATTGAGTTTCCAAGAAGAATATTTTACAACCCGCCGGTGGAACAAAATGCCGGACACGACACTGTCACGTTACTGATGTGTGCGATTAGTTGCAACATTTTTGCTTGTTGCAATTTAAAATGTAGTTGTCAATAAATAAATACACTACATACTGTCCGGACATATCTAAGTATTGTTTGGTCGTAAGTTATACATCCTCACATCTGATAATTCTTAAAGACCCATTCATATGGTTTCTCCCGATGTGCGTTTCTCCCCCAAAGCTCACATGAATATTGCCATATTGATCAGATCAAGAATAGGTGCATCTATATTAATGTGCTTTCTATGAATTCCGTACGCCAAAGCTCTTATCAAGGTTCAGACCAAGATACCGCATTGTACTGCTTGTTGATATTGGGTAGGAAGTTAAAGGAGATTATTAGTGTAACTGTGTCTACAAAAAGTAAAACCACCAACTTCAGTGGGTTCATCGTAATTCTCCGTTTATTACTCGACCAGCTCTCTTTTGCTAAGTGCCTTTCCTATGATTATTCTTTCTTGAGGTTGAAATAGCGTACCCAAATATTGTGGATTGGTCAGAAAATGGTAGGTCTTGGACATAAACGAAGAACAGGAACGGACCAAACTTGCTTTTTCCAGAAAGTCACCGCACTATAAATTTTTGTTCAAATGTGCCCAAAATCTATTCGATTACTCTGACAAGTTGGTGAAGTAAGAATGTCCAACGTGAAGCCTAAATTGAGACTTTTGAAAATATTATTTATTTATTAAATACGGTAAAGTTAAAATTTATTTTCTAAGGTTAAAAAAACTTTTTGAAAAATTTGGTGGCAAAACTATGTGCAACGAGTATAAAATTTGGGGAAGGTCGCGCACTTTATTTCCCATGTTTATCCATGACGTTGATCCCCACTCGGATCTCGCCGACTACCCTCTCTTCTTCGGCTTCGCCCTATTCTTCGGGTACTTATTCATTCTCGGATGCTGCATTGGATTATTGTCAGTCTTCAACAGGTTGACAGAAGGGACACCGATTAGCAGAAACTTCACCAAATCTCAATCTATCGTACATAAATCAGTTCAAAATAAACGAAAAGTAAGTATGTAATGGTTTTGCACTTAAAAAATGTATATGCTAGAACAACTAGTTATTGAATGTATATGATCAAATTTCATTTTATTTTGAAAAGTTTGTATATTCAGTTTCATAAGTTAGCACTTCGATTTATTTTATTTTATTTTTGTTGTTAACTGCACTTAGGACTTTGTATCTGTACCAATTTATTGTTTTAGTGTGTTGATTTGCATTTTAGCGGAAAAGAGAAAAAATAACCATCGGAAAGGAGAAAAATGTAATAAGACAAGAAACATTAAATTTGAAAAACGAATACCTTTCATTGATTCAATAAGTAAAACTAGATAAAATTGAAACCACCATACATATACAAATGTATGAATTTTGTGTGTTTGTGCACGTTGTTTGTTTGTAAAACTTTTATGTTTTTTGGTTAATCACCAATCAAATAGAATTCAGTATTTATTGTTTAATTCTTCTTTAAATTTCTCTGACAAGATTAGCAATGTTGTTTATAGTTTCTTTGCATATATGGATGTATCGAACAATATTTTTGTACGATTAAACAAACATGAAAATAAATTTCAATAGCCTTTTGCCATTTTCGGTCTGAGTCTGTCATTTTAATGTGAAATTTATTGTAGAATGTTCACCCGTGGGTGTGTATCATTGTACGAAGTTGTAAAAGTACACGGTTTATTGGCAAATCAATCCAGTGAGGCAGATCGGAAAGGATCAAACTCCATGTCCATCTCCCCTGCAAAATGAGAAAATCTCACAATATAATTGTGCCACATTATTTGATTTTCTGAGTTGTAGATTGGTCGTTTCCAGTTATTTTGGCCTGCCTAACTTCGCTGTTTTAATTTATCAGACGACTTTCGACTCCTCGCTATTCCTGCTTACGTATGTCCAACACTTTTTAGTATGTTTAACTTTGTAATTACTGAATTTTTGAAAAAAAAAACTTTTGAAAATTATTATTTGTCTTATTTCTTTTGGATTTTAAACAACTATTTTGTCTTATTTATTTGAGTCATTTGAAAAAGTTTTGTTATTTTATTACAACAATTTAAAAAATTTACCCATTGCTATAAAACTTTTGTTCTTCATAATTTATTTAACAATCGCTCGTTTCTTCCCCTTCAACTGCAAGAATTGAAATAAATATGGGAGATTATTTGATCGAATAATTGTAAAAATAATTTTTTAAACTTAAATTTCTAAATAAAGAATCACAAAATAGGCAAAATCTAGTAGCAAGTCTCTAACGACTATCCTAATTATGAACAATTGCCATAAAAATCATAAAATATTTTTTCCTCTCTATCTATCTCTGGAATAACTCCTGTTTAGTACAAGCTTTGTTTTTGACAGCAGGCAGGAAATTGCAAAAGTGTTTGTATTTTATTTTATTTTTTTTTTACTTGCATAAGTAAGTTTATTTTTATTTTGTATATTCATGCAAATGAATGTTTATTATTATTATAACAATTGTATAAAAAAATTCTTGTAAAGACAGAACTCTGTTGGAGAACAAGGTTTGCTTTTTGGCTGCAGGCAGGATGTGCAAGAGGTTTTTTTTTTTTTTTTTTTTTTTTTTACTTGTATGTAAGAAATTTTATTTTGTATATTCATGCAAATAAAGATTTATCATTATTATTGTTATAAAAATTGCGAAAAGACATTCTTGTAAAGACATGACAATAATGTCAATAAAAGATTTTTTTTAATCAAAAGAAAGGATTGAGTATTGAAATCTTTTCAGCAAGTCAATTATTATCACTTTCTCTAATTATACCAATAATAGCCATTACATGATGATTGATGACTTCATTCTTGTTTTTGTTATTTTATAAATCTTTTGTGGTTTAAACTTAAATGATAATTTAATCGAAATTTTTATAATTCCTTCTAGAAATGAAAGAACGATTTGTGATATTCTTAGTACTGGTCTCCTTCGCCGCATTCGCCTATTCTTCGTCACGATCAAAAAAGCTATACGAATGTGTGACATCTAGCGAATGTGGAAACGGGCGATGTTGTACAATCGGTAACACCATTTTTTTTTAATTCAATTCTACTTTTGTATATTTGTGTATATTTAAAGGGGTATTTTTCTTATACAACCGTATCGAAGTGGCAGTACTTTTTATTCATTAATAATATTTAAAAAGCTCCCTCTCGCCTCAAGAGGTTTAATATTTTCTAAACATAGCTTTGGTTTTTTTACCTTACCGTATTTCCGCTGATTAATTAGTTCCAACGAGTACACCTGAGTAATCAGGAGGGTAATAATATTTTAAATTTCACAGTTTTCACATTGGTAAATTTTAACAACATTGAATCAGATTGGTATTGGATATGCGGCTATGCACATGACGCATTGTTCAACAAATAAAATTATATTTTCAAAAATTATCAACCATTAGTATTAATGTAAAAACAATGATTGTCATACATTTTTCCCAACTGCTAATACAAATACAAGCAAAAATGATTTACAGTAGATAATATATACGTACGTATTCACACACACACACACACACACACACACACACACACACACACACACACACATATATATATATATATATATATATATATACATAGGCATATCAGGTATGAACGGCGACCATCCAATACGTTAGCCGCCACAGTGTGCATGCGAATCGGCCCAACCCTAGGAGGTGCACGCACTCTCCAAAATGATAACGGGCCAACGACACCTCAATCGCCGACTAAAATTATTGGGAAGAATTATTGAGGATTGATTAAAGGATTGTAGTTGTTGTCTAATTTGGAATGGAATTGTATATATACGGATCGGGTTTTTGACGAATGGGATATTAAGATCAGATCGGATACAGAAATTTTGTCATTGTTGCAAGACGGAACCCTTTCCATAGTTCCTTAGTAGTAGTAATAAATGAAGTACGAGGTATTTTGGCAAGGCCTTTATCAACTCAAACGATTCGTAATCATTTGTGGGAAGTTGGCCTACATCGTTTCAGACGACCTGTAGCAACAGCCCGCCACCAGCAACTCAGAAGAATATGGTGGTTCCGTCTATATTTTGCCCTTAAAAGGACATGAGTATCTTTAACATCCGCGCCTAACCCTTCGTCCTCATCGGACGTTTTGATTCCAAAGATGAGAGATGACGCACATCCACTCGCGACATGGTGTGTGTTACAGCCGAAGTTGTGTTGTAGAAGATATCCTGGTCCCGAGGGATCGAGACGAACCTCACTTTCCGTTTGTCCATTTCGAGTGGATGGGCCTGCATTATGTACCAGACCGTACATGGATACCCGAAATGGCTGAAATGCATCAGCCGGTCTCTCGCCGCGCTCCCTAGATAAAGAGATATTTCCCAGAGTATTGGGGCTCTTCCAGCGTAAAAACTACCGGAACTCCAGCCGCGGTTTTGTTATAGTGGAACCACCCCTTAGAGGAACTCTGCCCTCGGAAGGAAACCGATAACGGTACCCCGTGCAACAGGTTCGCACTAAGTTCTCACCAGGAGCATCACCACTAAGTCACTACAAGTCCATTCCCATGTATCTGGATTGGACTTGAAACATTTTGCTACCTCTTAGTTCAGATGGTTATACACCCTCTCCTGTCTATGCAAACAGGATCTGGTACCCTAAACCACCTGTGCCTCTGATCCAGCACCCGCCATCCGCCCCGAGCCAACATGATCCAGCTTGTGCTTTAGAGGCTAACCATCCCTAAGCGCCTAGAAGAGAACACCAATTGCAATGCTGTTGTGTTCACAGATGAGTCGCGTTTCTACATGTATAGCATATATACAGCAGCCGCCGAAGAGTCTACCGAGAGGGGGGCTGGGTAATGGTCTGATTTACACTGGAGGACGAACTGGACTCCATATTGTTGAAGGCAACCTCACCGCAGTCCGTTATGTCCAATAAATTATCAAGGAATACATCTCTCAAAGAAGGGATCTCATTGGCTGGCATTTTCGATTTCTGGATGACAATGATGACTCATAGAGGCAAAGTTGTTCATAAATGTAACCTCATAAATGAAAACTTCTGCCCATTGTCTCTAGACCTCAATCCCACTGAGCACATGTGGCATGCTATGCAAGAAGGCTTACTAGCTGATACTTTGATCACGTCACTCAGTGCAGCGTTGCAACATCTATGGAATGAAATTCCTTATGAAATTAGTGACAACCTTATTAATAGTATGCCTAACAGGTGCACAGAGGATTTAGCTGACCGAAGACATTATACGCGGTATTAATTCTTTAAAAAATCTATTGTGTCCAATAAACAAAATTTTTTTGTTATTTCTGAAAATCCCTTAATTAAATTTTCCTTCAGTAAGAAACATAATAATTTCTAATAAATTTTAATGCAATTTATAATAAAAATGCTGGGAAAAGTAAATAATACAAAATTGGCAATATCCCTATTCATTTTTGAGCAGTTTATACGCTTTAGTCGAATGTGGAGATTCCATGTCAGTCTTTTGTCTGTGTTAAGTACGAGATATTGTACTTGATTCGTATTCGGGATAGGATTATAGTTAAAGTAAATATGTGGGAGGATTTTTCAACTTAGATTGAAGATTATGAGTTTGGAGGTTCGGTCGGTAACCTTAATTCTCCACCACCAGAAACAGGGTTCCAGGGCAAGGTTTTGTAATTTCCATTACTGATCGTTATGAGGAGACAGGATTGATAGCATCAGCGAAGATGAAGATTTGGTTTCTTGGTTGCTGGGTAAGCCAGCAGTATTGCTTATAATAGAGGAGCAAGTGCGCTCTCCCGTGGGACTCCAGGTCGGACAGGGTAAATGGAGGAAGAAGAATATCTTTGATTGGCATGGAAATAACGATCGGAGTGATAAGATGGAAGAATCAGGTAATAAGTAGTGGATAGGGTGTCCTTAACTTACACAAGAGCCCTGGGTGCCATACCCTGTCAAAGGCTTGAGCTATATCCAGGAATTCACTAGGGCAATACTATTCCAGCTCTAAGGAGGTAGCGATGGCATCAACAACCCTATATGCTTGATGACCAGTCGAATTGGAACTTCGAAAACCGAACTGATGTTCGGGAATGGTATTTTTTCCTGTTGTTATGTCTTTTTGGAGGCTTATTAAAAGAAGATTTTCTAGGATTTTTCCAAGGATGGGGATTAGGCTGATTGGTCTTAGGAATTAGGTAGATGAGTAGGTTTACGTGATTTAGGATCTTTGCAGAAGTAAACTTCCAACTGATCGGAAGTAGGTGATGCCCAGTACTGTATTGTAAAGATTAGTAATAAAAACAATAGCCGCTTTTCGAGGTTAGAGAAGAATTTTTGAGGTGATGAGGTCATAGCTAGTACTTTTATTTCTTGATAGGTCGGGAATGGACTGCTTGATTTCCATTGGAATAAATGGAGGTGGTAGATGTAACGGAACCATAACGGCATGTTCGTTAGTTACGCGTTGTAGGTCTTGTATGTCAATGTGCGGAGTGGGAGATATCGAGAGTGCAGTGCCATAACTTCGACTTTTTCTGCATCATATCTGGCCCAAGTTCAAGCTATCTTTATCCATAACTAATGAAATATTAGATAGCTGCTGCACTACCAATTACTCATCTCAACCTACAACTGTTCGAATTTTGCCTCTTTATGCCATATTTTCAAGTGTCGTGTAATCAGGATTCGATTCACAAAGACTTATGGGGTTGGTGGAGTAATTACTTCTTTTTGATTATAAAATTAATCTGTATTTGCTTAGTGGTCATCGGGATACTATTTTCTCATCTCAACCAAAAACCTTGGATAAAAAAAATAATTAATTGGAATAATTAATATGGTCAATTATGATATGCTAAACAAATATGGATAAATTTAGTAATTAAATAGGTTTTTTTTCTTGCTTGATACATTACTAAGTTCATATATCGATTTTTTTTCTACCTGTCTTATTTTTATTTCTCGGTAAATGTTAATTTTGTTTTTCAGGTACTATGTTGTTCTCTTTGCCAAAATGCCATAACTACGCTGGCAAGGGAGAGTTGTGCAACGCCGGACAATCCGTTGCTGTAAATAAAACTTATCCGGACGGTACTCATATCATGTATGAAAACGTTTACATACATCATTGCCCTTGTGCTTCAAATTTGATATGCGGCTTAATGACAGAAACTTGTGAGGATCGAACCAAGTAATGATTTCAACTACCTTGGTCACAATCGAAGTGTTACATTATTTGTGTTTGAAAACAGTAAATAACTGTGAGAAAAAATGGTACTCATTGATTTTTGGCTTTTCTGAAATGCACATAAGGTTATATTTGTAACAAACCTTATTTAAATATGTACTGCATTATTTTTTTTCTGTGTGTAAATATATGTTTTTAAAACTAATGTCTCATTAAATTTCTCCATTCTTTGAAATCTAAGGAAGTTTTACTGTTATTACATATATACATATCAATGATTATAAATCCCAGGCCCTGAAGATGATCTCAATAAAGATCGAAACGTTGGCATGATAAAGAAAAATTTTTTCTGAAACCTACGTCACACCAGACCGCACCTCACGATTCCTGAATAATTATCGATTAACGGTCACTAATCACCACACACTCTGAGGTAATATGAATGGTTGTGAGAATGTAGCGTGAAGGACAGGGTTTATCCTGAATTACCCCGAGGAATAACGAAAGTTTTGATTTGAATGAATGTTTGAATGCAATTTATTAGCGGAAATAGAGGGGATTATCACATTTTACCCAAGAAATGTCGAGTACTGAAGGGTAGTATGAATAAATGTTTAAAAGTAATTTAATTTAAGTAAAGTAATAAAAGTAATAAAAAGAATGAAGGGGGTTATACTGAATTACCCCGAGGAATGTCGAGTACTATGGGGTAGTATGAATGAATGTGTGATTGTAATTTGTTAGTGTGAATGAAGGGGGTTACACTGAATTACCTCGAGTAATGACGAGTACTATGGGGTAGTATGAATGAATGTGTGAATGCAATTTGTTAGCTTGAATGAAAGGGATTATACCGAATTACCCCGAGAACTATGGGGTATTATGAATGAATGTGTGAGTGTAATTTGTTAGTATGAATGAAGGGGATTATAACGAATTACCCCGAGTACTATGGGGTAGTATGAATGAATGTGTGAGTGTAATTTGTTAATGTGAATGAAGGGGGTTATACCCAATTATCCTGGGAATAGCGAGTACTCTGCGATATTGTGAACGATGTCTGGTGTGTGCATCTAATTTAGTTGCCTGACTGTGTTTCAATTTTCATTTTTCTTGACAAAGAAAATTTTAGTATTTGGAGTTTTAATTTAAATCAATTACATCGTGTACTTCTGAATCGATGAAATACTTGTACGTTTTTCTTTCAAGTATCAAACATACTGAATATTGAATTGAAAAATTATACTGTAAAATTATCTAAGATTATCGCATGATGTGCAAAAAAAGGATTCAAAAAATGTCTTTAGACTAAAGCATCGTGAAATGGGATCAGAGCAACCATTTTTTACATGATATCGTTTTATACCCAAACACTGATAAACTATAATTAATTATTTCCCTTCCGATTATCATACAAAAAAATTTAGTTAATCAGAACTAAAAGATATATTACCCATTTCAATCAAAGGTTTATTGGTTATATTTTTTGTGTGTGTATTTTCATTGACAACTATGCAATTTGATTGCGCAGAAAGAAATGGCAGTTTTCGTTAAGGATTTTATTTTGTTTGACTTTTGAAATGGCCAAATTGTTTATAAGTGGAATAATCAAAATACTTTTTTGTTGCATCATTTTCAGACTGTGGTACACACTTTACAAATTAAAAATATATATTTATTCAGTAAACCATCCTCTTCGTCTCAAGACCATTACAACTATAAATTTCGTGCCTTGTTAGGACTATATCTTCCAGGATTCAGCGTTTTTTCCTCTCGATGAGAAATTACGCATCCGGTGCCATGTTCCGGATCTGGGGTTGGGAAGGTCGCGCCCTTGACTCCCCATGTTTATCCATGACGTTGATCCCCACTCGGATCTCGCCGACTACCCTCTCTTCTTCGGCTTCGTCCTATTCTTCGGGTACTTCTTCAGTCTCAGAAGCTGCATTGGAACAGTTTCAGTCGGCGACTGGTTGACAGAAGGAACACCGATTTGCAGGAACTAGGCCCAATCTCAATCTACCGTATACACATCAATTCAGAATAATCGAGGGGTCAAGTAAGTACATACTGGTTTTGCACTTAAAAAATGTAAATGCTAGAATACAACTACTTATCGAATGTACATCATCAAATTTCTTTTCATTTTGAAAATACATTCAGTTTCATAAGTGCTAACTTCGATTTATTTTATTTTTATTGTTAACTGCACATAGAACTTTGTATCTGTACGAATTTAGTGTTTATAGTTCTATCCAGCTTTGCATCTTAGCGAAAAGAGAAAAAAAAACATAAGGGAGAAGAAAAATGTAATAGGACGACAAACGTTAAATTTTAAAAATAAATATATTTCAGTGATTCATTCAGTCGAACATTTAAAATCACTACTCAAGACAAGAAAAACTAGATGAAATTGAATCTGACTATGTATGCACCATGAAATGTATGAATTTTGTGTGTTTTTGCACGTTGTTTGTTTGTAAAGACTTTAATGTTTATTGGTTAATCACTAATTAAGCAGATTATCAGTATTTATTGTTTGATTCTTTTTTAAATTCTCTGACAAGATTAGCAATTTTGTTGATAGTTTTTCTGATAGGAGTTTGCTAGCATTACTCATAATTATTTAATTCTTTCAACGCGTTTTTTAACTTATTTACAGAAATTCCATGATAAATGAAAAATGTGGTGCAGTTAAACGGGAGTTAGATGTAGCATGCACACAATATACAACTGAATGTGACATTATTCTCCAGCCCTTCTTTGTTTTGTCGGTTTTTCGAATTTTTGGATTTTTTCGTGATTTAACGAAGTAATCCAACCTTTTTGTTTGTATGTTTTTTATTATGCTATCTGGGGCTTTATATGTCTGTATTCTGCATTCAAAGAGTAAACTTTTAAACTGTAAACTCTGGAAGAGTTGTCTGAAAAGGGACAGGGTTCATCCTTCGTATACTTAAAAAATACAAACAAAAAGGTTGGATTATTTAATTAAAAAAGCAAAAATCGACACTTACGATCACTTTTTTTTCTTTTGATACTAGAAGAAAAGAAGAATTTCAAAATTCAATTATCTCAATCATGATGTACTTGTTTCCTTAATCAGTCTAAATCTTTGTAAACATGCCAACCACTTTTTTTTCGAGAATTAATCTTTTTTTGTATGATAATGTAACAAGAGTATGTACTATATAATTTGAACATTCGATCACAAAGTTTTTTAAATCGATATTCGATTTTTTCATAACTACTGCTCCATCTAAATTTCAAGTAATTAAGGATGTTAAAGATTTGTAAGAATAGTGATTCATATACTGGATACAAGAATGAACCACATCAATTATCACAACGATAAATTTTCCAAAATATCAGAGAAATGAGAAAGTAAGTTAATTGGGTTTTTCAATACTGCCCTCAGATTTCAACTAAGGTAGGAATTAAACCAAAATAGATTAACGTTTGTTTGCTTTTGCAAAAAAAGTTTCCTGAAAACTTAAATACCTAGTCAGATAAGACACAAATACTAATCCATTTATATATAGCAATACAATCTGGTCCGAAGAAGTCCAGTTCTAAGCTCATTTCAACATAAAACATACCGCCCACCATATTTCAAGAATTGCAGTCTCTTTCTACTATTTTTCAGGGATATATTTCACCTTTTCATTTTGAACTTTGACTACACGGTGAATTTTCAATGACTATTTGCAAACCTGAATTGTACTATCTTTTTGAATTTCCAATTGTAAAAACTTGCGTTTTGCCAATTGTTAGTTATTTCTTTTGGTCAATGAGACACCTTTATTTTTTTTTAAACACGTAAAACTGAATAATAACCACTAGCTGACGGAAATTTTAAAATAGTTTTTAACTCAATTTCTCACTTTTTTTATTTAGGCATGTTATTATTTGTACGAATTGAATCGATCAGATACTATTATCTATGAAGAAGAAAAAACTTTGAATGAAACAAGACTGTCAATAAAAACGTAAACTTTTTGTTATGTTCTATTGCTATTGTTGTGTAAGCAGAGACGGCGCGCCGATTCGAACTATCTTTCTAGATTGGCTTGCTTTTCTCTAGAGTTCTATAAGAGAGTTGTAAGAGTCTCGTTACTTATTTTTGTGTAGGAGAAGGTAAGGTTCGAGAATTTAATAAATCAGAAAGTATATTCTTAACATTTAATGAATACAATTCAGCTTTTGACATATGGACAATCACAACAAAATCTTATTTATCTAATAAGTCAGCCACAACTCTAAATCTGGGATGAGTGAATTAACAAAGGGACTTATCCCAAACGACGCTCTTCACGATCAGCGTCCTGAGAAAATTCAGCGTCTTTCAGGTATTTCGACTGTCGACTTGATCCGGTNGGTGAGTTCTTGACCTAGAGTAAAATTGTATACGAGTCCACAGTCAATTTCATGTGGGGGTCAATGAAAAATATTATATTTAACAAAAATTCATTTTAAATGTAAACAGATTGAGTATACACAGAAATATTTCGTTTTTCAATCAATAATTATTGATAATTATTCACTAGTTATCTTTCTCAGTATTCGCTATCACGCGAGAATAAGCGGACCCAAAGAGTTGAGTCCAGTCCAATATTAACTCCGCCATTTATTTGAAGACAATAAACTTCCTTCAATTTAGTAGTTTGTTTCTGTAGTTATTACAGAATTTTTATTTTTATGTTGTTTTATGTAAAAAGTCATATTTGGTTCCTAATTTTAATATGATTTTGTTTTGATAATAATAATAAAAATGTAGGAAGTTTAGGGGCCGAGAAACAGTTAAGGTCAGCGCCGGCCATGTGCGTGTGTTTTTCTAGTATTTCGCCGTATTTTTCAGCCTGCAGCCATTTGAGCGACTCAATCTTTTTCTAACTCTGCTATTAATCAAAGACTAACTAAACTAAAACTCTAGCCTCGTATTTGTTCCTCAGTATGGTCACATTCACCCCAGAGAAGTCGATATACGATTTTCTATTACTATACTCGATATAACTCCGTATTCCTCGGAGCGAGTTAAACACACTACATTCTCGCTAATAACTTTCTTTTACTCTTTAGACGTCACGCACTCACTCCAGGCTACTCGATATTCCTTGGGGCGAGGATTAAACAACCCCTTCCTTTCACGCTAATAAATTATGGCGTGCTTATTTGTGATTGAAAAAACAAAAACTTTATAACATTTTTCCATTAAATTTTTCATTTATCTTTGTATTGTTTACTTTTATTTTTTATTTACTTGTTATTGCAAAGGAAATTGTTTATTTATTTTCTCTGCATACTCTCATTCTCCGTCATTGAATGGCGTTGTGTTCACCTTTGTGCTCATTGGCGGAAATTTGCAAATATTTCCCCCCTCGACCAATTGGATTGTTTTCTTCGGATCGAATGATTTTGATTATCGTCCACGATTATTTATCTATTGCTGACAATATAATCCAAGAAGAATGGATATGTACGATTTGCACACACGCACAAAACAATCTCTTTGTTTTCCCTTATCATCGAATCGTTACAGAAATAAACACGTGTCTATTAGGAAAGTGAGATCTCGCCTCAAGATACGTCTGACGCAATGGAGACACCACTATAAATAAAACAATTTAAATAACAATTAAAAACAATGGATCCACTCCGTACTAACGGCCATGGTTCAGTACAATATCTTTTATAACTTGGCAAAAAGTTGTAGCTTAGAACTTATCATTTGGTTCTAGGTCAACGCAATCTTTTGTTGTTGTTTCTATAAGCCTTACCTCCACCTGTTGGTTATTAGATAGTAAGATGCCCAGCATAATTAATAAAATTTTACGTATGGGGTAAATTTGAATTCATTTTTTTGTATTTATTAATAAACAGCTTTTATTTTTATTTTTGCAAATATCTCAGTGTGATGACCAGGTATAAAGAAAGTCGGGGGAACAGCGTTCCGTTACGGTGGAACATGGATTGGTTGCAGCCCGATTGGAGACAATGCTCTCGGCCAATAATGGGCCCAAAACAATGGGCTACCTGTCGGCATCAAATTGTAATTACTGCTCCGTTGTTCTCGGCTTAATTTATAATACCCGGTGACCAGTTATGTGAACCCAATTAATTATTTGTGACGCAAATATTGGAAAAGATTTTCGACATAATGAGATGGGACGTGTCATGATTGATAACAATGAACTTGAGCGTAAACCAGAAAAAATCAAAGGGCGGTCGTCATATTGCTACAAGATTGATACAGCTTATTGTTCCTGTAATGTTTAAGTGGGATAAAAGATTTGTTTTTAATTTTTATGCCCTGCCATCCCTCTTTTAATCCATCGCCCATAAAACATTTGAATTTGAACCTCCATCATAAGTAATCTTTTTACGTAAGGGTTTGGTTGAAATGGAAAAGCTAGCGTCATGAGCGGGATTCGAACCCACCCTTCGACTCAATACGCTGCAGCTCTAACCACTTGAGCTATCGTGACTTGAAATGGCAAAAAGGAAGGAAAATTCGAAAGGTTGTAGGTTGAGATGGGGAGTTGGGAGTTGGCGTCCGAGTGGATCGAAGTCACGATAGCTCAGGTGGTTAGAGCAGCGGCGTATCGAGCCGAAGGACCTGGGTTCGAATCCCGCTCGTGACGCTAGCTTTTTCATTTCAATCAAAAGTTTAATTAATTGAAAGAAGTAATTTGGTCAATCAGACCACTAAATATAATGGATTTATCATAAGATTTTATGTTTAACACTCAAATCGCAATATGCTTATTTTCGATGCCTGCGACTCAGACATTTCGCCTCCTTCACAGGTGAGTAAGATTGTAAGCAGCAACGCCGAGTTGGTGCCATGCCTCACCGTGTTTATTTTTCCCTGGCCTAAAATTTTAAAACACTTTGATAAACCAATACAGCGATAGTCAAATCAGGATGGTGAGACAAATTAGAAACGATTGTTTACGATACTTTTTTTCACGAATAAATCGTTGTACAATCATCTAACTGTTAGTTTAATACGTAATATATTGGTGATCAAGCCTGATATCTTAACCATCCTTTATCCTG